CTCACCTCAGCTTCCCAAAGGCGCGGGATTACAGGCTGAGCCACCGAGCCCGGCTAATACGATTTCTTATTTCATTCCTCTAGCCCACCTATGTGGATACTGGCATTGCAGGAGTTAATGTTCTAGAATTACTCATTGACATATAACTTTCCTAACTTTATCTTATTTTTTTCCTCTTACAGGAAATGACTTAGAAGCCTTACAAATACATCTGCGCATTCTTGCTTCAGACTTTACAATTGAGGGCTGGCCCAGTCTGGAAGCACCTCTTATTAATGTTACAAGGAAACCGCTACCTCAGCAAACAAAAGGAAAGGAGGAGAAGACGTATAATAACAAATGACTTTTTTTTAAAACTTGTTTTCAGAAAACATTAGAAGAAATTTGGAAAATGTTAGCATTGCAGAGGAGAAGCTTTATAGGTAAATGGATTTGACAGGCAGGCTCTGTCAAAATTCTGCAGAGGTTTGATCTTCCTTCCTAAGGACTTTGTGTGGAGTAATTCTGTACTACTTTTTAAATTGCTGTTGATCAGCTTGTGGGTTTTTGGGTTCTAACTTTTTTTGCTATGTTGAAAATACATTGTATTACATTATATTACATTTTAAAAAGTTAAGTTATTTTCCTGCCATTGTAAATACAAATCTCAAAATATTCTTGCAAAGCAGTTATAAGTAAACATTTTTCTCAGCAAACATATCTTTTAATTAAGAGAGTGGAATGCTAAACAGTTCTTATACAGCCTTTTGGACACACTTTTATTTTTTGCCAGAGGTCCTGTCTACACTGAAAATATTAATTCTGTAAACCTGTTGTTATCTTGATATCTACGTTGGATCACATGGTCACCTGCCTCATGGAAATGCCTTTTTTAAGACTTCAATTTGCAGAACTCCACTATTTTTATACCTAGCTACAGTTTTGCAAAAAAAAAAAAAAAGAATTAGAACCCTGACCTGCTCACTGTCGCTGGGACAATTCCCCCTCCCGCATGTATTGCTGCAGTGCTCAGGACAGTAAAATGGACTACAAGCGGCGCTTCCTGCTTGGCGGGTCCAAGCAGAAGGTGCAACAGCACCAGCAGTACCCGATGCCTGAGCTGGGCCGAGCACTGAGTGCTCCCCTGGCATCTACGGCCACCACTGCCCCCTTGGGCAGTCTGACTGCTGCAGGCAGCTGCCACCATACCATGCCCCACTCTACTCCCATTGCTGACATCCAGCAAGGCATCTCCAAGTACCTGGATGCCCTCAACGTCTTCTGCCGTGCTAGTACTTTCCTCACAGATCTCTTCAGCACTGTGTTCAGGAACTCTCACTACTCGAAGGCGGCCATGCAGCTCAAGGATGTACAGGAGCATGTCATGGAAGCAGCCAGTCGGCTGACCTCAGCCATAAAGCCTGAGATCGCCAAGATGCTGATGGAACTTAGTGCTGGAGCCGCAAACTTTACAGATCAGAAGGAATTCAGTCTCCAGGACATTGAGGTAGAGTATCTTCTGTGTTATACTTGGGTAGGAAAATATATTCCAGGGGTAAGTGAGGAAATTGTCGTAGTTTTTTCCAAATCTTTGTAATCGTGGCCTTTGTCCTCTTTCTGTTGGTACCCTCTCATAAAATTTTGTTCAGGACAGATTTTGAATTGCTTTCATTTCTTGAGTTGGAGTCTCACTCTGCCGCCCAGACTAGAGTGCAGTGGCTGCTCCCGGCTACCGCAGCCTCGACCTGCTGGGCTCCGGCGATCCTTCTGCCTCAGCCTTCCGAGTAGCCGGAACTACAGGCGTGCCCTACCATGCCCGGCTGATTTTTTTTGATTTATTGTAGAGATGAGGTCTCGCTGCCCAGGTGGGTCTCGAACCCGCGGGCTCAGGCAATCCACTCACTTCGGCCTCCCAAAGGCGCGGGATTACAGGCTGAGCCACCGAGCCTGGCTAGGTAGATTTTTAAAATTGTTTTTAGCTGATCAGGGAGTTAATCTTAGTTTGGTTTTTCCATGTATCTTTGTACATCCAGGCTAAGTTTCTGGAGATAAGGTGTTAGAAGGCAGGATTTTCCTTTCCTTATTCTGGGACTTTTATCTCCAGTCTTGAGTTAAAGCTGATGAGTGAGGTGACTGAATAACCTCACTAATACTGCTTTGGGTTAAAAAAACAAGTTAAAACTATTAAGTAATACAACTAATTTTTATCATGTTTAAAACGAATTTCCAAGAGGACCTTAAGTTTTCCTGGGGTTTTTTTTTTTTAGAGATAGAATCTTACTATGTTGCCCAGCTGGTCTTGAACCTGGGCTTAAGTGATCCTCAAACTTGGCCTCCCAGAGTGTTGGGATTACAAATGTGAGCCACAGTGCCAAGCCAGAATGGTTTTTGTTTTCTGAATTGGAGTCTCACTCTGTCACCCAGGCTGGAGTGGCACACTCACAGCCACCATAGCCTTGACCTGCTGAATTCAGGTGATTCTTCCACCTCAGCCTTCCAAGTAGCTGAAAATACAGGCGTGCACCACCACACCCAGCTGATTTTTTAAAAATTTATTTTAGAGATGAGGTCTCACCAAGTTGCCCAGGCTGGTCTCAAACCCATGGGTTCAGGCAATCCTCTCACCTTGGCCTCCCAAAGTGCTGGGTTTATAGGCATGAGCCACCATGCCCAGCCTGATTTTTTTTTTTTTTTTTTTGAGTTGGAGTCTCACTCAGTCGCCCAGTCTGGAGTGCAGTGGCTGCTCCTAACCACTGCAGCCTCGACCTGCTGGGCTCCAGCGATCCTTCCGCCTCAGCCTTCCAAGTAGCTGGAATTACAGGCATGTGCTACCACGCCCAGCGGATTTTTTTGATTTATTGTAGAAATGAGGTCTCGCTGCCCAGGCGGGTCTCGAACCCGCGGGCTCAGGCAATCCACTCACCTCAGCCTCCCAAAGGCGCGGGGTTACAGGCTGAGCCACCGAGCCCGGCCCAACCTGATTTTTAAAGAGTCACAGCATCATTGGTCTACACTGGGGATTATTAAACCTTTTCTGTAAAGGGCAGATAAATTTTAGGGTTCGTGGGCCACATATGGTCTCTTACATATTCTCTGGTTTTTTACAACCCTTTAAAAATGTAAGAATCAGTTTTACTTGTGGACCTGTTTATTCCATGGACTGAATTTGGCCCATGGGCTGGAGTTTGCTGTTCCTTCAGGTATGAATGTATAATAACCTCCTAGGATCATTCTATTTTGAGTTTATCTATTACAGTATATATGTGGTTTCTGATTATTTCTCTTTGATCACATTTTATATCCGGGGAAATTATCATTTTTTAATGCATTTATAAAGTGGCTTATCATAGTTTAAAATATTTTTAAAATTATATACACAAAGTATGCTTGTAACTTTCAGAAGAAATTAAAGCAATGAAATGTAAAACTTCTGTTTTCCTCTCCCATCCTATTCCTTTTCACATAAGTGATCACTGTTAACAGGTTGGTGTATGCCATTCCAGACTGCTGCTGTCTCTTCATGCATAGATACATGTTTGTGCATGCACAAATGAACAGCTTTGACTTTTGTTTTATGTAAAGGACCATGTTGTTCAGGCATTAGTGTGCCTGCTCACTGCTTGACAGAGGTGTGTTAAGAAAACATTTAGGGACACTTTGCCCTCTCTTGGAAAGTGTTTAACAGTATTGGACCCAGACTGTTATAGCTATCATCCCATGATGACATAAGCACTTTTAGCTTTATATAGGATTTCAGGCAAGAGTGGTTTGAAAAATAAGGCCAAAAGCTTTTATTTTCATCTGAACTTAAAAAAAAAAAAAAAAAAATATATATATATATATATATATATATATATATGGATGGTATCACTCTGTAAGACCCTGTCTCTGAAGTACAGTGGTGTGACCATGGGTCACTGCACCCTTGAACTCCTGGGCTGAAGCAGTCCTCCCCCATCAGCCTCCTAAGTAGCTAGGACTACAAGCATGTGCTACTATGCCCAGCTAATTCTTTTTTTTTTTTTTTTTGAGGTGGAGTCTCACTCTGTCGCCCAGGCTAGAGTGCAGTGGCACATTCATGGCCACCCCAGCATCGACCTGCTGGACTCCAGCAATTCTTCCACCTCAGCCTTCCAAGTTGCCAGAGCTACAGGCGCGTGCTACCACGCCCAGCTAATTTTTTAATTTATTGTAGAGATGATGTCTCAAGCTGACTGGGTTGATCTCGAACCTGCGGGCTCAGGCAATCTACTCACCTTGGCCTCCCAAAGTGCTGGGATTACAGGCTGAGCTACTGAGCCCAGCCAGCTAATTTTAAAAAAATTTTTGTAGAGATGAAGTCACACTGTGTTTCCCAGGCTGGTCTGGAACTCCTGGCTTCAAGCGATCCTATTGCCTAGGCCTTGGAAATTGCTGATATTAAAGGCGTGAGCCAGTGCACCTAGCCAATAACCTGAACATTATTGAGCTATTCTTCAGGTTGTGCTTCCAGGTATTGCAGGAGACAATGCTAGACCTCCATGGCCCTTTGCTTTGCAACCCTGCAGGGCAAGTGCTCTTGTCCTCCAGGTCAGGACAATTAGGGAAAATACTCAACCATGAGAAGTAGGGACTTAGTAAGCCACTGAGGTACAGCAGTACCTACTTTATTTCTTCTGCTTTCCTGGGACCAGCACGGACCATTTAAGCTGAAAAGGGAAAATACTTATTGTTGTAGTTTAGAGTTTTGACTTAGCTTCCTTAACTAAAATGCTGATTAGGATAGTTGGAATACTACCTTTTTTTTCTCTTTCTTTAATATGATGAGCTAAACAGGCTTTCCAGAGCTAAACTGGAAACTAAGTGCTGTGGTGGGTTTAGGAATCTATGTGTCTATTCTGAGTTTTAAACAGCAGACTTGTGAGTTTCAAAATGTAATGGCCAAGTTCAGGGCCACAGACTTAACATTTTACTTTTTCCCCAGAGCAGTATTTGTTGTTTCTGGAATTTATGTACTACCAGGGATTTAGCCATAGGCCAATAAAGGTCTTTCTTCTCAGAATGTTCACCAACTCAGATGAAATGGCTAGGCATTTGGCTTTTTTCTTATTGGTTTTTTTTAGAGTTTTATGAGCAAGGCCCTGAGAGGCTCTTTCATATTCATCCCTGGGGAAAGGAGTCTGTGGCCTAATGTTGCTGAATTTGACTGGCTAGGCAAAGCCTCTTCAGGAGCTCAGCTTAGGACTGCTGGGTAAGGAAAGCACTGATTTTGAGAGTAGTCATATGATTGACCATTATAAATCTGTGACAAAGTACAATTCCCCCACCACCCTGAATGACCAATATGCTCTTCTAATGCTCCCCAGGTAATTTTGATATACAGCCAGTTTTGGAATGTGCTTATTGATTGACAGATGCTGATGTTTGTGTCCCAGAACTGTTTGCTGACTGTGTGCTCTGCCACTCTGCCCTGGGGCAAGCAGAGGATGCGTGTGTCCTGTCCAGTCTGTACTCATCAGTGACTTTGCTCCTTATCCTGGGGTGGGGGGTGATCACTAACTGACTATTGCCTATGACACTGTTTGGCACCTCAACCTCGGAAGTGAGTTATGGGGCATAGAGTCAGAAGACCTGGGTTTAGAAGGTGACTCTGCTTCTTACATTCTATGTGACCTTGTACAAATCTTATACCATCTCGGAGTCTCAGTTTGCTCATCTATAAAGTAGAATTGCCATGCACCTTCTTCCAGAGTTCTTGTGAAGATCAGAAGTGAGCCAGGCTCGGTGGCTCAGCCTGTAATCCCACGCTTTGGGAGGCTGAGGTGAGTGGATGGCCTGAGCCCGCGGGTTCGAGACCCGCCTGGGCAACTTGGCGAGACCTCATCTCTACAATAAATAAAAAAATCAGCCGGGCGTGGTAGCGTGTGCCTGTGGTTCCAGCTACCTAGAAGGCTGAGGCGGAAGGATCACTGGAGCCCAGAGGGTCGAGGCTGCAGTGGCTGGGAGTGACCACTGCACTCCAGTCTGGGTGACAGAGTGAGACTCCAACTCAAAAAAAAAAAAATCAGAAGTGATTGGCCAGGTGTGGTGGCTCATGCCTACAATACCAGCACTTTGGGAAGCCAAGGTGAGAGGATTGCCTGAGCCCACGGGCTCGAGACCAGCCTGGGCAACTTGGCGAGACCTCATCTCTATAATAAATTAAAAAAGAAGCCGGGCTCGGTGGCTCAGCCTGTAATCCTGCGCCTTTGGGAGGCTGAGGTGAGTGAATTGCCTGAGCCCGCGGGTTCGAGACCCGCCTGGGCATCTTGGTGAGACCTCATCTCTACAATAAATCAAAAAATTAGCCAGTCGTGGTAGCGCGCGCCTGTAATTCCAGCTACTTGGAAGGCTGAGGCGGAAGGATCGCCGGAACCCAGCAGGCGAGGCTGCGGTGACTGGGAGTGGCCACTGTACTCCAGTCTGGGTGACAGAGTGAGACTCCAACTCAAAAAAAAATAAATAAATAAAATAAATAAATAAATAAAT